AAAAGTAGTTCAGATTTTTATTCTTTTTATGTCTTGGGATTTATATGGCTTTGTTTTTTGTTGGGTTTTTTTGTATTGACTGAACCAACTTGCCTATTCCTAGATTGGATCAATAGTGAGACTATCTTTAGTCCAAAGATTAGGACTGCAACCAATATGTCATGCACATACCTGTTTTTTGGTCTTTTTTATTGTAATTGAGTCATTCTTCATTAAGCCATCTAGATAATTTTCCATAATAGCTCATTTAGTTCTATTAGTTATCATGCTGATATCAAGTACGTTTACTTCCTCTTTATGTAGCTTTTCTTCTGCCTGCCGAACTAGCTCACGACCTGAAATGTAATGATTGGTGAGATGATAAATGATGAATAGACGGATAAAGCCTGAGAGAGAAAACCCTCAAAAGAGAAATAAAGTTGTGAAGAAGCTTCCCCATTTTTAAATGAAACATAAATTTTAGGAACAGGGTTATGAGATTTCATGTCAAGAATGTAAGTACTGAGGAAGTTTTTGAGAGGTGCATACACTGGATGTGGACAAGCTTAGGACTAGTATGGTGCATTATACAAGGATTTATTTTAAAAAGCTTATTGTTTAAGTTTTGTTTTGCTCTGAGTGCAGAGATCTATGGTGCTTGCGACTTATCATGTAAACATATGTTCAGTTTTTGAGATGATATGAGCAGCAGATATACTCAGCCACGTGAATATGGCTGAATAATTTTGGCCAATTCAACACCCAGATTTGCTTGCCCCTCCCCTGTGTGGAGCTTCCAGCACTGTGAATAGAAACATAGCTGAGATGCAGGAGAATCTATGCTCAGTGCTCCTCTACTCTGTCAACCGTACCTTTTTCCAGGCAAAGTAGAACTAGAGGATCACAAGTTAGTCTGTTTAGCTTGGCTGGGCAGGCACCTTCCTATTTTCCTAACAAACAGCTGCGGATGAGTGGTGAGAAAATCCCTCCTAGATCCAAGATCCATATCTTGAACCTGTTAGTAAGAACTTCCACATGGTCTCCCACATTGCTATTTAAGTGCAAAGGGGAATAAAGATCATCTCTTCTAACAACCCCATATTTTTCTTTTCTTATAGCCAGTAATAATAATCCTCCCACGAGACCCCTTTGCTTTCTAGTTTCTGAGCCTCTAGGGAGCCATCTGAACACTTTTTTTCCAAGTTTCCTTTACAACCACAGGGAACAGAGACTTTCTTTAAAAAAAGATGGGCAAAGAGTCTCGAATAATTACAGAGCTCCAGGACCTGGGGCTGTCTAAAAGCCGCACTCTATTTCAAAACTCAGCAACGTTAACACTGTGAGTATGTAGTCAGGGATGGGTGTATAAAAGTTTAAGACTTGTTAGGTGGTAGCAGTTTATACCAGGAGGGGAAAATGAAGCTGGTTTTTTTATTTGTAAGTTAGGGAGCATGAAGGATACAACGATCATCATGTTGTAATATTATGAGTACAGGTAGTCAACCTGTGGCATGCATGTCACTGGTGGCAGATTGGGGAGGCAGCAGGCAGCACAGAAGCAGATAGTGCAGGAAGCAGAAGCTGAGCAGCAGATCAGAAAAAGGGAGGGGATAACAATGGCACTCAGGGAGTGGCTAATTTGTGGCGCATATGCCAGAAAGGTTGACCCCCATATATTAGACTAGAGAATCCTCTGCATATCTGTACTGATCTGTTCCCTAATCTCTAAAAGCACTTAAACGTCTGGGCATCTCTAAATGTATATTTCACACACTGTGAGCTCTGTCCAATGCTATATGTCTGTATATTGCAGATATGTAATAGTCCTAATAGAAGGATACCATAAAAAGGCATTTAATAATGAATTAGTGGGTGGGTCTACATGTTCATTAATGCACTTTTGCTACCGCGCATTGAGTTTAGTACCTGTAATGTGAGGTATTAACTAAATATACATTAGGCTGCCCTAATGGGTAGTAGCAAAAGTGCATGCTTTTTCAGTGATGCTCAATGGAAAATTGCCTATTTTTACTGTGCATTGTCATTTTAGCACAGTTTTTGCCACGATGCTCTAACTCACAGTAAAAATAGGCTACTGCACATTAAAGCGCATGTGTAAATGTGCATTAAAACACATGTGTTCAGAACTAGAACAGATCTCACACTTAGGGCAAGTACAGGAAATAGAGACCAGTTTGCCTACCTGCTTGTTCTGCTTTGTCATGAATGTTGAAGGCATTTCTGGGTTTTTCTTTAAAACCAATAAATAAATAAATTTCAAATTGCCCAAACACAAAGAGCACCTTAAAATTGTAAAATACTCTATTTGAGCTCTCAAGAGAGAGTAACTTTAAGGGTACACAGCAATATTTAATGCAGTATAAAACTAAAATATTCTGAGCTAGGAGTTGGTGCACATGTTTATGACTGTATCATAAGATACTAAAAAAACAGCCTTGAAACACCCTGACACAACCTTAACCTCAGAAACACTAGCAGATTTTGCTTTTAAAATAGAAGAAGTTATACAACAGACAGTAATATTTCCATGCTAAAAAACAAACATAAACCAATAAACCCTGTAAACCTGACTGCTTGGGGAGTTCATGTAAACCCCCAAGCACTGAGAACACTTGCCTATAAAAATATACAACCTGCGCAGTCAGGGACTGAGCTGGTGCCCAGTTCTTTGTGATGCACAGGACCCTGGTACTACTGAAAACTGTTGTTCAGATGCACAAGAAGATACAAGAAGCTTGACTGGGAGTGTATAATTCCTCCAGATCTTCATGGTTTCCTTTTCAACATCATTACAGAAGAATGGGGATAAATGATTGGATAGCAGGGGCCAACAGATCCATCAGGAAGAATCAGACCTACCTACAGGTTATAAAAGGTCCCTAATTTCAGTGGGGAAGGAGTGGTCTTCTTCCTACACGAATTTACATGTGTAGGACTAACACCATGCAACATATGGGATGGTATGAATGGAAGAGTAAATAGAAGACAAGTGGATCTTTCTATTAAAGTTCAAGATGTCACACAAATTTTCAGGCTTTTAATTTTTTTTTTTACATATATCATTTTAAATATTTTGTCCTTACAGTGTAGACAAGGCGGGAGTGAAATGAGATACTTGTGAGGTGGATCCAGCGCATCTCTATGTAAACACAATATATGATTCATATAACCTACATCATGACTTAGAGTGTAAAGCATGGCTTCACACCGTCCACATCCTTTTAGCTGCTTGTTCTTTAAATACTATTTCATAAGCATGTTTCTCAAAGCAGATAAAGCACTGGGATTAAAGAGCCTACTGTAGACAAGTTATGAGCCTAAAATTTACCAAAAAATAAAGTAACCTTAAAGCAAGAGATACAAATGAGTACATGGCTTCTGTTGTCTGAACAGAAAGTGTTTGGTTTTACTTCAAAACAATAAACTTCCTTAATTCTTTCCCACAGGAATTTCCAGTGGCAATACTGTTTAATCTCTAAACTATGATCTGTCATATTATTTCAGTCATTACTCTTCCTTTTTTTTTCCCCTTTCATATGAGCCTCCCAAGGTAACTAAGTGTAATAGATACAGCACTGCTTTGGTGAAAATACTTGAAACAAATATATTCATTAAATAATTAGCTTTCAATTCAGAGGATAGGAAGTACAAATAAGTGATGGTTTCATAATCACATTTACAAAGATTACTGCTGTAATTGTTGTTTTGTATCCCTGATGCCGTGATGGGTTCTGTTTTCCCTGTTTGTTACTCCAAAAATAGTTCTTCTGCAATATATCTTTGAATGCAAAAATACTGAGGGAATGGAATCACAACTAACGTGGAATCACAACTAATTCCTTCTATCAAGCCATGACTATGATTACTTTCAGCCAATAATTAACAGATGTGGGCATTTACATCTGGAGGGGAACAAGATGGTAGCATCACTAAACAGTTCAGTACTTTATTTATGACATTATGCTAATGAACATTTTCTAGATCTTGGTCCAGCTAACTTCTTAACCTGGGTGGGATGAAGTGGGGAGGGGAAGGAATACAACAAGATACAAAAATTGAAATAAAAAGTAAATCAGCTCCTCCTAAACATGTGTTTTAAGTCAGCACACAAACTTAACTTTGGTTATGTTTAGCTGTGTCAATTGACTCTCACTGCATCAATGTGTTCTCAAAGTTGACAGATTATCTACCATGAGTGGGGACATAATGTAGCCTGGCGCCAAAGGGAAATGTCAGCTTCTCAGAGAAAGGGCTTTTCAGACTCTTAATAAAACGAAATAATCCACAGTATTATATAGCATTCCAGCGTATGTATAAAGCAAGTCCATGTATATGCAGAATGTTATGTTTCTAGGATATACAACACATGCTTTGGCTTTTTTACTTTACTTCAAATGGTTTCACATTGGTGTAAGACTACTGAGGTCAGTTCAGTTCTTTCCGACTGGCACAAGGGCAAGGGAAAACAGTTTTAGTTCCTTTGGACTTTTGTCATTGCAATAAGGCAAAAATATTTTTCTTTTTAAAGAAAACAAAACAAAGTGTATTGCAGAAACTGCTTGGGAGGGAAACTGAATAGGCTATTTCCATCTGTGTTTGTGGAAAGCTGATTTTTGCAGTTAAAGAACAACTATGATTGCTACTCTACACTAGTAGCAACTATAGTATGGAGAGACAAGTGTTTACTTTGCCACAGTTTAAGAGAAAGTGAGAAACAGTAAATCAAAACATCTGAGCAGCCTCTGTGCTCTACTCTGTTGTTCAGCTCTATGCAATTAAAATTTGATTGAATCTTTCTTACATGAATCTTTAGCCTTCCCTTATCACACCTGGATAACAGGTTTCATTCAAACAATATACACCACTCTAAGAGATTTCAGTAAAAAGAGCCACCTGTACAAAATATAAAAACAGAACAATGATATATAATACCATAAACAACTGCTTTTCAAAGAAGCCCTAGGAGAAGTTGATAAATTAACTCATTTCAATAGTCTTACCTGGTACACTATTATTAAAGGTCCAAACCTTGCTGTCTACTATACGAAGCTCTTGGCCACTGGATGAAGTCAAAATAGAGTACTTGATCATGATAATCCCAACCTGTCACGGACAACTGCATTTCTCATGGCACCACATTCAAATTGTTCCAAATGAACCTGTAAGACACAGACATTCCTTCATTTTAATGGAAAAATAGTCAACCATGTCCTAGGACCAGGAGGCATCACCACTTAATCAATGAGTACCTCAAAGTTGTGTGTACAAAGCCATAAATGCTTCTTGATAAACATCAAGGCCAGAGTCTGTGGAGCTATGCTTCACAGAAATTGTTTTTGCTGAATACATGCTAGTTTTCCATGTTCTTACTGATCTATTAAAACTGTCGGGATTAACAGAGTATTTGCTTTTCGAAAAGTAACAGGCATTCTCCATGACTTCACTGCATATATAGGTGCAGGTCTCTTCTCAGAAAGGGTCCTTTTCAACACTCCTCTTTCAAACAAAGCTGTTACTGTTAAGCCAAAGGGAATTTTAAGCTAAAAAAAAGGATTCTAGGCAGAACCGAGGGAAATTACATTCAGGTGTTCCCTGGTAGGTTTCCCACATGGCTTTCATTTATTCACATGTATTTAAATAGAAAATCTACCCGAACACCATACAAACCCACATTAACCAACAAATCAAAAAGTAAATCTACCCAGCAATAAAAAAATAAATCACATATACTTTTCCCACTATAACTTACACTGAGGGGGAAAAAAGGCAAAATATAAAAGATAAAATATGTAAGGCCAGGAACTTGCTGATATAAATGAATGTGGCTCCACTTACTGATATAAATGAATGTGTAGTCCATTAGGTTATACTGATTTATCTGGCCCTCCATGCTGGCAGAATGCTAAGGTTGTGCCATTTAAAACAAAGAAACAAATTAAGTATCCTGCTGCAATATTCACTCATTTGTGTTGCAGAATTTAAATCATGTTATTCATAGTTTCATAGTTTCATAGATTTAGGGTCGGAAGGGACCTAGTAGATCTTCTAGCCCGACCCCCCGCCAGGGCGGGAGAACAACAAAACCCCAAAACAAAAACAGGACTCAAATGAGTCCAGCCAGGTAGGCATCCAGCCTCTTCTTCAAGACCCCCAGGGTAGGGGCCAGCACCACTTCCCTTGGAAGTTGGTTCCAGCTCCTAGCCGCCCTAACTGTGAAGTAGTTCTTGCGGATGTCCAATCTATACCTCCTCTCC